TGTATCTCTAAATATAACTAGATAATGTGGATAATGAGTATTTTATATAAAAATGATATATCATTTATATTCTGTCAATAAATTAATAAATCCACCTCCGATAATGACAAAAGGTATTGGAACACCTTTGTAAAGGCATAAACAACTTAAAATTCCTATGCCCATCGGAACTATTATATTTTAACTGCATGAGTTTATAATTAAATGTATTATTGCACTTAATATAAATCCTACTGCAACTGCTGCTATTCCTTATAAAATTGCTCTAATTGTTCTTAATCCTCTATATTTCTTCCAATATGGTAATAATCCAAATATTGTAAAGAATCCTGGTAGAAACATAAATATTTCTGCTAAAATTGCCATAGGAATACCTCCTATTAAGGCTCCAATATAAATTGCAATATTGAACATAGGACCTGGCATACATGAAACCAAAGCAAATGCATTCCAAAATTATTCAGTTGTCAAATATTCTGATAAAGAAAATTATATCATTGGTAATACTACATGACCTCCACCAATAACTAAACTTCCCGTTTTGAATAAATTACTACATACTGCTATTGGCATCCAATCAATATAGGATAAAAAAAAGAATAGAACAAAAGATACACCATATCCAATCAAAGATCTATATCCTAATAACCAACTATCAAAAGTTTATTATGCTTATTCTTCTTATGGAATTAATAATTGTTGCCCTATTTATCTATCAGATACATAGTTTGAAATTGCTCCTATTGCTATCATTAAAATTGCAATTGAAGGTGTTGGAAAAAAGGTTGTTACGATTGCACTTACAATCCACAAAAACAAATGAAATCTATTTTTTATCGCCCCATTTGATAATTTATAAGCTGCCTCTATTATCACGCCAATTGAAGCGTATTTAAAACCATTTATCATTAATTATATCCATGGTATTGATAAATTTGGAACTGTTAAACCTAATATCATCATTACAAAAGCTGATGGCATACTAAAATATAAAAATGCTATTAGTCCACCCAAGCAACTATGAGTAAGATTTGCTCCAACTGCAATGACCATCTAAGTTGAAGTCGGTCCAGGCAATGTTTGACATAATGCAAATAATTCTTGGAATTCATCTTCTGTGGTGTAATTTTTAAATCTTTCTCTAAGTACATTTATATGGGCTAAAGGACCACCATAAGTTATGAATCCAAGAGGAAACATTACATCTCCTAATTACTTTAAACTCATTTATTTTTAAGAACAAGTATCCATTGGAATCATTAAAAATAATTTTATTATATTTATTCAATACTTCCTAGTTCACTTTCACTGTAAGTTCCATGGAAAAAGGTTGATCCAGATCCATCTAATAATCTAAAAATTATTCATGAATTTTAAACTTGTTTCTGTATTTCAATTCTAAATTTGATCTAAATTCATAGATTTTTCTAATGGCATTCACTTTTAAAATTGTTGGATTGAATCCATATTAGAACACTAATATCAATAAATTTATTTCCATTGCTATTGAACTTATATTATTTAGAATAAAAATCTATTACACTTCCAACCAGTATTAAATTTTGAAAGAGATAAATATTCAAGGATCAACTCTGATGTTATTATTGGTACAACTAAAGTTTCACGATAGGATAATTCTAGAAATTTATATCTACTCTTTTATCTAAATCAATTATATAATCACTTCTCCAAGAATGATATAATCTTCATAGAATCAATTATTCCAAAAATCAAGAAGATTAATTGAAATGTAAAGAAGAAAAAAAACTAAAGCACTTTTGTCAAAATTAGTTCTTAAGAATTAAACTTAATTGCACATATCCCATTATTATCATTGTCTATCTAATATATCATTCTACTTACTTTCTAAGCAGCATTCCAAATAATAACTTTATTTGTAGATGTTGCATACATTGTAAAAGATTGCCATACGCAAATTGCACTTAAACCAATAAATGTAAATGACCATGATACTTAACAATTAACTATAGCCATCAAACATCCTAAGCAAATTACAAGCACACTAACTAAATATTGAATTAGCAATACACAGCATATTCAAAATTGTAAATGTGAATTTATTGTCAATGCATTTCATATTTATCATAATGCAATATATATCAATTACTCCTATCACTAAAGCTAAAACTAAATAAATAATATAAATAACTTCCATTATTTTATAATTTTATTTTTAAATAAACCTTTTACTACACAAATATAATCAATTACATCATTTTTAAATCTAACTAAATTTATTAAAATTCAAGAAGCATCTACATATATTTGTTTTATTAATACATTTCATTCAAATATTCTTTATACTTTTCATTCAAAGGGTTCTCATCAAAATTTTCATCGATTTCTTCTTTATATACTGATTCATCAGGAGCTACAAATTCTATAGACACCATTCTTTTTAATCCAATATTTTTTTTATTTATTGCTGATGGCAAATACATTAATTTCATTGAGCTTTTAGTTCCCATTATTGCAGAGATGTTTGAACCACTTGAAAAATGATGAATCTCGTTTCTTTTCTTTTTTGTTTCAGGGGGCATTAATAGGTTTTTTTATGATTAAGGTCTATTAATGAATATAGATAATATATACATAGAATTATCACACAATGACCAAAAAACTTAATTTGAGATTTTAGTTGTGCTTTTTATTTGCTATTTAGGAGATTGGAATTCTTTTTTATCTAAGGAAACCTTAGATTCTGAAAGTTTTTTACTAAATTTGATTCCTTCTGTCCAATCATAATGTCCATCTAATTATATATTGTTAGATTTAGCTGCATCTAAAAGAAGATCTTTAATAAATTCATAATCTGGCTCTTCTTGAAATTTTAATTTTCTAATATATTAAAAAATTTTAATGAGTTCTGGACATTTAATAGATGTCAATTCTTAGACAGAAATAGATTATTTCATTTCACCGACAATTCTATTTCTTTCAGAGGATTCAACTGGTATATTTTGCCAAGGTAATTGACCTCTTAAGAAATAGAAGATAACATAAAATAAAGATTCTAAATCATCTTTTCTTCCTAATTCTTATCCTTTATGAGCAGCAATTGATGCATATCTTATAGTACCAATAAAGTCTTTGTCTTCTCTAAATGATCTATAAAATACTTATTTAATAACAAAATTTACATGTGATCTGCTTCAAAATATATCTTGCTTACACCAAAATCAACAATGTATATTTAATCTAATTCAATTGACATCACAATATTTTCAGGTTTTAAATCTCTATGAATAATGAATCTCTTATGTATATTTTTTAAAATATCAATGCAATCATAAGCAACTTACAAACAACATTTGAATGAGAATTTCTTATATTATTTTAAGTAATAAGCTAGATCTTTACCTAAAAGGTCCATAACAATAAACTATGTTTGACCATCAAAACCATGAGATATCAGTTATGGAACTCCTTAAACATTATCAAGTTAGATAAGCATAGAAATTTCTCTTTCCAAAGTTTTTTTCTCTTAATTTGATTCAAGTTCAGCTTTTAATGCACAATCAATGTTTGTAGCTCTATCATGTACTTAATAAACAATTCCAAAAGATCCTTAAGATAATTTTTTCTTGAAAATGAATCTATTTGCATAAATTTTAGAACTATTTAAACTCATAATTAGTAGTGATAATTAATTAAATATGTTATCAAATTATAGAAAAGAAATAATGATTAGAATTGATATTGAATTATTTTTTTAATATATTTACAACAAAATTTCAATGGATATAAAATATCAAAATTTTAGATAATGAAATTTAATGTTTTTTGTATTATATGAATGATTTATTATCTCATATTCATTATGGTTTGTTTGATGGAACTGGCTATTAAGCTTATTAAGGTCTAGCACCCACAGGATGATAGGTTGGATAAACCTAAAGAATATATATAAGAAAGCTAATACTGGTGAAAATGCTGGTCTAACACCAGAATATGTGAGTGCAGGAGCAACAACTGGTTAAGTATAAACTGGAGCTTAAGCAACTGGTCTAGCAACTGAATAAGTAAGTGGTTGAACAGGTTGAACTGGTTAAACAAAAGATTAAACAACAGGTTAAACAGGTACAGTTTATACAGGTACAGTTTATACAGGGACTGTCTAAACAGGGACTGTCTAAACAGGTTGATATTACTTTAATATATTATTTAATTTGATATACCACTCTTTATACTTCTCTCTCAACAGCATCATACTCAACTCTTGGTACTGTTTTAGTGACTGGTACATATTCTGTTTATTATTCATATACTGTTCTTGGAATATATTCAGTCTAATATTCAACTGGATAATAATCAGTCACATATTTAGTTTTTGGTACTTAAATTTAAATTGTTTCTGTTTCCATTTCAACAACAGGTCTTTGATATTCTCTGTATTCAACTCTTGATTCTCCTTTAATTGGTGCTTATTATGGAGCAGCAACAACAGATTAAGTAACAATTGGTTGAGTAACAACTGGTTATTAAACAACGGGTTATGTAACATATTAAACTGGTTGTGGAACATATGACACTGGTTGAGCATAAGTCACAGGTTGAGCATAGCTTACTGGTTAAACAACACTCATTGGAGCTGGAATAGAACTTGTAAGTGGTGCTGTTGGATATATAGGCATTCTTTTTTTTATTCGATAAATATTTTATTTAATATCCTTTACTTAATAAAATTTATTTCAAATTTTAATTACTCCCTACTTTCAATGTATTTCTAAAGACTTATTAACTCATTTAGTAATATTTACTTTTATTTATCTTATTTTATTTCATACTTTTAAATGATATATGTTAGAACAAATATTTATTAATTAATTAAAATTATGGCAGATGAATAAGCTGAATTCTTTAAGGAAGTCTTAAAGTTGATTTCTAACTTACACTTGGAAAACAAAATCACAGAGGATCAAAAGTCAGAATTAAAGAAATTATTGATGGATGACGAAGATTTTGTTAAATAACTATAAGATGAATATAAAGTTGAGGGACTTAAAGGAATAGTTAACATTATAATTGCTGACACCATTTCAGATTGCAGTTTCAGAGATTTAATAGATTTCAATTAGGAAAAAAGAAAAAGATCCTAATCGTTAACTATTTAAACAGACTCTTCAGATTGAGTCATCTTCTGTTATTCTTAGCACTGTTCAGGCATTTTGATTTATGCATTATTTACATATCAATATATGTCATTTGCAAAAAGTAATAATTTGCGTAAGAAATAATATTTCTAACTCTATTCACATTTAATAAAATCATAACTAATTATTATTATATCTATTACTATTTACTTTTTAACAATATTACAACACTTTTAGAATAACTTTCTTTATACTAAATGACATCTAAAATTACAAATATGTTTAATTCAAGAAGAAAAAAAAATAAACGCACCTTATAATTAATTAATCAAATAAATGAATTTTCACTCTCTTCCTTAATTATGTTACTTGTATCATTATTATTTTTTATTTGATTTAATCTCTGTTATATAATCATTTTTTTCTTTCCTTTTCCATATAAAATTTAGTTAATTTCAGTATTTAAGCTTTCATTTATTGATTGAGAATCATTAAGATAGTTTACTTATTATCTGGCAATCACTTCTAAATTCGGTTTCCTAATTTACTCTTCAGAACTTTAGATAGTTCTAAAAGCAAATGTGGGACCTCCAAGCTTTTTTTAAATTGCTGGCTAATCCATACTAACTTATCTTGGATTCAATTTTGTTGGTCTGAATGAATATTGTGATTTGTAAATTAGGCGATAAAAATTTTATTATGTTTTTGGAACCTCTATTTTATTCTTTGATTCCATAATTGTCTTTCCTTTAACTACACCTTAAAAAAACTAACCAACCGATGCTTTTTAATCTTCACATTCTATTAAATTATTTAATTTTGATTTCAATGTTGGGAGTTAAAATCTTTATTCTTATTTTGAATGAATTCTTGGCATACTTTTACTTTATAAATTATCTTCAAGTGTAGTGAGTGGACTATTTAGTTATCTCATCTGAATTTATTATTTAATTATAACATTAATAATTTTGTTATATTAAATTATTCTGAAATAGGAAATAATCCATAATATACAATCTGATGAAAAAGTAAGAAAATCTCAAATTTCTAAATAATTAATTTTATTGTTATTAATAAATGTTAAATATCATGATTTAGGAATTACACGACTCTTCTTATTTACCTTAGGTTTTGTAGGTCCTATTAATATTAATATAAATTTAACTTTTTCTTTTTGATTTATCCAATGTTTTAGAACCATCATTTAGATCTTTTTAATCTAAGTANCTTCAGATTGAGTCATCTTCTGTTATTCTTAGCACTGTTCAGGCATTTTGATTTATGCATTATTTACATATCAATATATGTCATTTGCAAAAAGTAATAATTTGCGTAAGAAATAATATTTCTAACTCTATTCACATTTAATAAAATCATAACTAATTATTATTATATCTATTACTATTTACTTTTTAACAATATTACAACACTTTTAGAATAACTTTCTTTATACTAAATGACATCTAAAATTACAAATATGTTTAATTCAAGAAGAAAAAAAAATAAACGCACCTTATAATTAATTAATCAAATAAATGAATTTTCACTCTCTTCCTTAATTATGTTACTTGTATCATTATTATTTTTTATTTGATTTAATCTCTGTTATATAATCATTTTTTTCTTTCCTTTTCCATATAAAATTTAGTTAATTTCAGTATTTAAGCTTTCATTTATTGATTGAGAATCATTAAGATAGTTTACTTATTATCTGGCAATCACTTCTAAATTCGGTTTCCTAATTTACTCTTCAGAACTTTAGATAGTTCTAAAAGCAAATGTGGGACCTCCAAGCTTTTTTTAAATTGCTGGCTAATCCATACTAACTTATCTTGGATTCAATTTTGTTGGTCTGAATGAATATTGTGATTTGTAAATTAGGCGATAAAAATTTTATTATGTTTTTGGAACCTCTATTTTATTCTTTGATTCCATAATTGTCTTTCCTTTAACTACACCTTAAAAAAACTAACCAACCGATGCTTTTTAATCTTCACATTCTATTAAATTATTTAATTTTGATTTCAATGTTGGGAGTTAAAATCTTTATTCTTATTTTGAATGAATTCTTGGCATACTTTTACTTTATAAATTATCTTCAAGTGTAGTGAGTGGACTATTTAGTTATCTCATCTGAATTTATTATTTAATTATAACATTAATAATTTTGTTATATTAAATTATTCTGAAATAGGAAATAATCCATAATATACAATCTGATGAAAAAGTAAGAAAATCTCAAATTTCTAAATAATTAATTTTATTGTTATTAATAAATGTTAAATATCATGATTTAGGAATTACACGACTCTTCTTATTTACCTTAGGTTTTGTAGGTCCTATTAATATTAATATAAATTTAACTTTTTCTTTTTGATTTATCCAATGTTTTAGAACCATCATTTAGATCTTTTTAATCTAAGTACTTATTAATAAAGAGATATGGATATAATAGATATCTCTTAAGTTTTTTTAATCCTCTAAATTTTTTAGGTTTTGAAGTTGTCTTTTTAACAACTATATCTACATTCCATTGTCTATTGAAAATTTCATAATTTTTTAAATATTCAAAATTCGCCATATCATTGAGATCTTCTTTGAGATTAGAAAGTTTCTTATACCAAAATTCAATTTACTCTTACTCCTTTTTTTGGAAAAGTACTAAATTATTCATTTTAGTTCTCAAATCATCGAAAATATTAATTTCTTCTATAAACTACTCTATTTCAAGTGATCTAACTTTGATGATCTATTTTGGATTTTATTTTATTGTAAATTAAGCAGTTGGACTTACTTAGCCAAATTGAGATACCATTAAAAGTGGGGATTATTATTAGATTTAATTACTTAATCTTTCTTTTTTTAATTTTTGAATCACCTTATATTAAAGTAAATTTTTAGATGAAAAATTATGAATTTATTTACTGTTTTTTCTAGAATTAAAATTTTATTCTGAAAAGCTTTAATCTTTTAATTCATCAGGGTTTTCATTTTCTGATTCAGTTTAACTGTCAGCACTAAGAGGTTACTCAAAATTAGGAAATAATTATTCCAAATAGAATAAATTATCATTTTTAAATTTTATCACAGATTCCATAATCATTTTTTAATGTTTTTTCGCATTTTAAAACTTTATTTATTTTAATTTACTTTCTTCAGTTTATTCATCTATTTAATTTACAAAGACAATTCTTAATTTTCTCTCCTAAGAGATTCGTTTTTTTTATTTTTTTCTGTAAAGATACTTCTTAATTACAACTTCCTTACTAGGAACAAAATGAACTAAAGGGCACATTGATGTTGTATGAGATTTAGTTTTACAAACAAAGCAAAAATTAGAAAGATTAGAAGATGAAGTTAAAAGATTATGAAATTTTTAGTTTTCAAGGTCATTTTAGGATAATATCTTCTGAAAATAAGAATAAGAAATTGAAAGCACACTTGTAAAGGAAGTACTTTTAAAAGTAATGTTTGGATTAGCCTGTTAACTAATAAATTCTTCCAAACCAAAATAATCATACCTTTCCAATGTTTGAATTATTTTCTAGAATATAATTAACATTTATACTTTTTTATACATCACATCTACTTATCCTTGTTCAATTATATTAATATAGAACTCTTCTTTTGAGTTAATAATCACTCCAGGCTAATACATTTAAAAATTAACTTAGTCTAATAATTAATTTAGAATCTCATTTGAAAAATTATCTTTGAAAAATGAGCATTTATTTAGTAATGATTTAGCAGCTTCTATTTTTAAACTATGTTATAAGTCTTCAGGAAGCAATTATATGATTTCTGATTACTCATTAACTTATTAAATAATTTCTTATTTTAAATAGAAATATAGCTATTCTCTTACTCTTAAAATAATAATTTATATAAATTACTTGAATTATAAAGCTGGACTAATTGATTTATTGTGCATATATTAATTTATTGCTGTTAATTTTGATTTAATTTTATCACTACTTTCCTTAATTTGTGTTAAAATAGAGCCAATAGTATTAACTGTGTAAGAAAATAAAAGCATACAGAAGAACATATAGATTATAGTGAAGATCTATTCAGGAGGATCTTTTTATAATGTTAAATATTTACTTTTTGGAGTTAAATCACCATAACCCACAGTGAAAGTTGTTACACAAATAAAGTAATATGATTATAGAAATTAAAGTGACCAATCATCATTTTAAAAAGGATTTAACCAAGAATTTTCATAATTTCCAATTGAATAAGCCCCAAATACAAGCCAAACACAACTAAATATATGCTAGACTAGTAATATCAAAGCAATTAATTTTATTAAATCTACAATTGAAGTTGACATTCGACTTAATTTTAGTGAATATTGTGAAATATCAATATATTTCAATATATTGAAAGCCTAAATATACAATAAACTCAATAAAAATTTAGGCCATCCTTCATTTAGAATATATTTATCAATAGGATCATGTTCTGATAAAGTTATTACTATTGTATAAATGAAACTGAATAGTTCTAAAACAGTTGAAAAATTCAATTATTTTTTAAAGAGTAAGTATCTATCTCTGATAGGTAATCCTTAATCATATGTAATCGTAAAAGCTCGAGTAATAATATCGAATATCAATGTGATTGAGAAAACCAATAATGGTCCTAATTATTTTGAGATGAAATTTTAACCATGAAATGCCATAATTACAGGAATCACCACTATTAGATATATCCTAATACCAAAACAAATCAAATCCCAAAAGAATTTTGTATTGCTCATTGGCTCAATTAAAGGTATCTGATTATGTAGATGTGTTAGATACTATTTACATTTTGTCTTAATCATTCTGAATTTCAACCTTAATTAAATTCGAATATCAATTAGTGAGATGTATTGATGAATTAATTTCTTCTATTATTCATTACTTGTTCTCCCAATATAGTTTCTGTAGGAGGCACTTAAATCATTAATTAAATTAAAGTGTTATATTGTAAAACTAGATGATATTCTAAATGGCATTAATAGCATTTTGATGAAATCTTTTTAATGGAAATAAACAACAAGTTTTCTAAAAGATTTTGATTATTTGATTAAGTCAACACGACCAAATGTTTACAATCTTTCTGTCATTATCTCATTTTTAGGAGTTATAAGTTGTTGAGGTGTATTAGATTGCAAAATTAATTATTCTTGATGTCCTAAATTTGATTGAATTATTGGAGACAGTTTTTCTCTATTCCTCACTTATGTTTCTTGAGAGAATAATTCAATGGCAGTTTTTCCATAAGGTTCCTCAAGATCGATTTATTACTATTTTCTTTAATTATTCTTTAGTTCAAAATTTTATGGTTGCTGTTTCATATCAATGATAATATAATTAGATTAATTAAAAATAATATATATAATTAGACAATTTCGTGATTATTAATTAAATAAGATTTTTTGATAACAAACTTAATTATTTTTTAGTATTTTCATGATATTAATATCTATTCATTTTATAGGATATACTTATATGGATCTTTTCATTGATCTTATATTTTATTATTTTTTTCTCATTAAAGCAGAAGATAAACGGCGCTCTTATTGCCTAACAACCATTGATTTTCTAGGTAATCCTAATCTATTAGCATTGTATCTATATTAATTTATAAAATCATAAGGATAAAACATATATTTCAGCCAAGTATTACCACTAATCAATTAAAATTAATCTAAGCTTTTTGATGTTTAAGTTATAATGTATCTGACTGGATGAATTAATTTTTTTAATACTACGTTAATATTTGCTTTTTAATTAAATATCTAATATTCTTATGATTGATCAAGATCTATTGTATCTTCTAAATTTAGTTTAAGTTCTAAAATCTTAATCAAATACTCAATCTATTAAATATCTTTATCTGTATATAACTCTTTATGATGCAATTTATCTTTTAAAGACTTTAATGTTTATAACTCTAATGTAAAATGAATTTTTAAGTCCAAAATTTCTTTCTCAGATTTTTGTTGAGATTTATGATAAATATCGAGATAAGATCGGCTTTCCAGATCTTTTATTAAAATTCCTACTGAATCAATTTCTTTTTTATTGATGTATTCTAAAATTATATAATTATTTTACCTTAACTTTCATATTGTGTAGTTTCATCTTCAATAATTTAATATTTCTAAAAAAACATGCTATCATTTTTTACTTTAACCATTTATGCTGCTTCTTTAATAATTTCTTGATCAGTAGAAGCATGATATAATTATTTAATTCTAATTGAATTTCTTCTAAATTTCTATCTGTCTTAATTTTAATAATAATTAAATTATTTGATAACCTTTTCTCTGTCTGGAATAAAATGTACTTACTTACAAAGATAAGGTGGATGTCTTTTAGATTCACAAACAGCACATTTTAATTCTGAATAATTATTAATTTTGAGATTCCAAAAATTTTCAAAATCAGACTAATATTTTAATAATATTGCTTAAAATTTAGATTTAGGTATAACTAATGTACTCACGAACCCTGAACTTTTATATTCATATTGGAAATTTTTCTAATTATTCATGAATTCACTTAATCCAAAATGTTCATTTGATTTGAAAGAACCAATTAATACTTTTTTATCAAATGATTTATCATAAATATCAACTTAACCAGATTCTATTATATGGATGAAATGATCATCATCATTAAATATATTTATTGTAGATGATGGTTAATAAGATTGAAATTAAAGCTATTTCAAAAGTTCATTAAGGAATTCAGTTGAGAAATTTTTATAAAAAAAATCACAATTTTTAAGTACAATACTGTTTGATTCAACTGCTATTTATTTTCTTAGATCTTCAGATAATTAACTTAATATATCTGTCTATTCTTTTGTTTATTATGTTTATTCTTGATACCAATAATAATTTAGATACTCTCTTACCTAAAATTGTAATTAATGACTTATTTTTTTATTATGCATGTATTAATTAATGAAAATTAGCTTTTTATTAATTATATCATTGTTGTTTTTCATTCTTGTCAAAATTTCTCCAATAGTATTCAAACTAAATGAAAGTTAAAATGTACAAACAAATACAAATAAAAAAGCAAACATTTTTTCAGAGATATCTGGGATAAATTAATAAATAAATACTTATTGGATGTAAATCACCATATCCTACTGTATACATTGTTACACTAGTGTAATACATAGACTCAATATATAAATCTGTCCATGAAATGTTATCTAAGTTGAAATAAGAAATCCAATTAGAATTTCCAAGAATAAGATTATATTTTCCAATAATCAACCATATACAACTAAATATATGTTAAATTATAAGAAGTAAACCTATCAATTTAAATAGTTCAATTAATGATGATACTAATTAACCCATTAAAAAAGATTATTACCATGATCCTATAAAATTTAAAAGATTTTTTAATTGTATAAAATATAATAGCATCCATAATTTAGGCCAGCCACCAAATAATATAAATTAGTTGTTAAAGTCAAATTTAAAATAGGCCATAGCAAAGAGCAAGCAAATTTCCATTAATTCTATAAGGTTAGTAATATGATACTAATTTTTTACTATTTAATAACGATCAACAACAGGTAAGCCTTAGTCATAATAGATGGTAATATTCCTCAAAAGTAAATCTATTATAAACACAATTTATGATATTATAATAATATTATCGTAATCTTCAATCAATTACTCAAAAGTGATGATAATGGGAATAATATACATTAGATAAATTCTGAATATATTAAGTAGAAGATCCCAAATGATTTTGATTTTAAATGATGGGTCTATCAGTGGAATTTGTTCAAATAAATATAATATTTTTTATTGACAATTTACAAGACCTTATCGGTATCGATATCTCAATCTTACTAGGAAATCAACTTCTTCAAGACTTGGATATTGCATAACAGTTGATTTAGATTTGCCAGCGTAAGTTATAAAATCTTTAATGTTCCCTGAGCTTTTATCATTGATTAAATAGTAATGTTTTGGTTTAAATATTTGATCTGGTTTAATATACTTCAATAGTTTTCTAATAAAAAATCCAATATGATAGTAGATAATTAATTTCTAAAAGGGTTTGAAAACAGTTTAATTGAAACCAGGAATGTCAGGACTTGGAGCTTCTATTTTCTTGAGTAAGATTATTGATGAAGAGTCGCATTCGTTATTTACCGGAATATTTTTGCATATAGATGTATCTTATTAGCCAACTGTATTGATATTATCGAGATGTACACTATTTAGACTATGCATTAATTGTATATAATATTTATAAATTATTACTCACAAAAGCCTTAGATTAAATCCATCGCTTTTTTTTGATTATAATAATTATTGATTTAATTTATAATTCATTCCTTTTCATGTATTAAACCTTTAACAACCAAGTAATCAAAAACTCCAGTTACACGTTCTTTATCTAATTTGAAGTTTTATAGTGTCTAATCTTTCTTAATGATTCCATTTTTAACTGATTCTCTTACTAGTACTTCTTTTAATATCAAATATTCTTATTCAGTTAATCCTAATTTTTAACATAATTGATATTCCTCTTCACAAAATGAAGGTCCAGATTTATGCTTATCTCTTCCTTCCATTAAAGGGATAAATCTTGTTCTCCTTTACATAAATCTTTATTTTTATGAATCATAAACAAATGAATCATTTTATTTTTATCTTCTTTAATATTATTCATCTCTTTTTCTTTTCTCAGCCAAATACTCTTCAACCTCTTCAAATGTTTTCATTCCTAATTTTCTATAATATCTTAATTCTTCTATTTTTGCTCTAAGTTATTTTTCTTTTATCAAATTTTAAACTAATCTTTCATGATCTTCTGGTTTATTAAATCTTGCAAATGGTTTCATTAAATTATGTAATTCTTTTTCTTCCTTTGATCTTGATTTATCTTAAATATTTTGTTTTTTTAAATTTAATAAATCTCTTTCAATAACAAACTTTTTTCTTTTAATTCTTTCATCTAATCTTATATTATAAATATCAAGAACTTTTAATTTCATTTCAATTTCATAAGGTTTATCGTCATCATTGAATTCCATTTCTGCTAATAATAACTCTGCATCATTATCAAATTCTATATCAAAATCCCCTCTTTTAGGCATAAACCCTACTATTTCTTAACCACTCTATGAAGATATATTAGGTGTTAAACGACCTGTTTTAGTTATATTTTATTCTTCCTTTAATTTCTTAGGTGCAGTTTATGCTCTTTTTGGTTTAATTAATTCAAGTGTGTCTTAATTTCTTTTTGATAAAAGTGGCATCTATAAATATATATAAAATTATATAAACATTTCTAAATTTCCCACTTAAAATTATATCATCATAATGTTGTGCAATTTCTTCTTATACCTTTTCACCTCCAAGCATTTCTGCAATATCTTACCAATTACCAAAACCTTTCTTTTCTAGTCCTTCCAGTAATAATAACTCTTCTTCTGCTGTCCAATCTTCTACAAATATAGGAAAATTTAATTTATTTATTATTGAGTAAGAATGACTAATTAAGTGAGATTCTGTGATATTATAAACTCTTATACCAAATTCTTGTAAGTTTAAAAAACAATTCATGCAAATATCTATTGCATTTGGACAGTCGTTGCATAGAATTCGTGCTTATTTTGTTATATCTTTTTCACAGTTATCACAATGTACTTTATTATATGGAAAATATAGATTCTATTGTTAAAAATAAAATAAATACATGATAAATTATTTCTTCTCGATTCCCCTCCTACTCCATCTTTTAGTTCTGATTTTTCTTTGTCTTCTTTTTTCCGCTACATATTGAAAGAATATTTACTTTTCTTTGTCACTCAAGAACTTCCTAAAACTTATATACTATTATACATTTTAATATTGTGGCAAATATACTGTTTTAATTAAAAATAATCAAAGGATAATTCTAAATATATTGTATTTTAATCAAATTTAATTGAATTTATGGGTTGTTCTTAAGAAAAACCTCCAAAATCACGAGAAATTCTTCCCCCTAATCCTCCTATTTTAACAGAATCAGACCTTAAGATTACTATTTAGAAAGTAACTATCAAAAAATTATCATAGTTTTAATAATTTGCTATAGTATAAAAATAAAAAATAACAAATGAAGGTCTTGAATGGGAAAGATAATTAAAATAAATGTTAATCAATGAAAAAAGGGATAAAGATTAAGAATATTAATTGTTTACTAGATTGACTCAAAAAAATAAATACTTAGAAACTGTTGAATTTATAATTCTTCATTGTTACTCATTATCAGACTAATCAAATAAAATTTTTAGATGTCAAGGTCAAACTTAACCAATAAAACATCTAATGTCATATATAGAAAGTATAATATATGCTTCAGACAAATTGAACATGGATAAAGCTTAATAATTTAACTAATATTTTTTATTCTATTTTAAATTAGATGTTAATTAATTGAAAAATGTTAGTCAAGAAATTTAAAATCTTTATAAATATCCATTTCCTACTTATTCTGAAATAATAATTATGTAAAAATGTTTGCTCAAAAATATAATTTAAGTCAATAATAGATAAACCAAGTTGGACATTAATTTCAATTTGAAGAAAACCATATGAATTCTATCCCTTAATAATATATGATTCAATCGATTTAGAATGATAATTAAAATGAACATAATAATATAAATAATTCAAGAAATACCTTAAATATTTAATAAAAATAAAATTCAGAAGGAAATGAAATTATTTCTTCTAATCCTTACCATTAGATTAGTTTATAAAACCAAGAATTTAAACTTCCTATACACCTTTAACCCTAGAAACCTAATATTAAATTGATTTCAGATTAAAATAATAAAAAAGTATGAAAAATAATCAAATTAATAATATTGATCTACATTAAATTAAATCATTCATTTTCTTGACTATTTAGTTTTTCAAATTATTTTTTTGATGGACATTTCATAATTTAAGTTTCATCAATTTCATTTTTGATAACATAATCTAGGGCATCCTCAAATGAAACTTCTTCAGATAATTTAGTAATTTTAACAGCTGTAAGAGTTCTTGATTATAATAATTACCAAAGAATTTTTACCCTTTTATTCATATTTCCTCTATGAATAAGTAGTTTCCCAATAAATCCTTTTTTATTTGATAATTGTGGTTTTGATTTGAGCAACTTTTCTCTAATCAAATCTAATTGATTCTATAAATAGAATAATGATAAATAATTACTTAGAATTAAATAAGATAACCTTCAAATATTTAAAGAATACACATTATAATAAACCAAAGATTTAAAAATGCTAAAATAATTAGAATAATGACTTAAAGATAGAAATAATCTTTCAATTAAGCTCCATACATTAAAATACCCAAACAAAGTGTTGCAGCACAAACCATAGTAGAATATCTATCAGTTTGATTTAAGGTTTTACTCTGATATGGACTAACTGAAACTTGATACCATCCATAAATAAAAAGTACTAAAACGATAAGTAATCCTTTAATGATAACATATTCTTCATAATAGACTAAAATAATAACAAAGAATTCTTTTTGAAATATTTTAACAAATTCCCAGAGATAACTTTCATGAGAGTATTATCTATAAAAATACCCTAGAGTCATTTTGGTTTGCATCAAATCAAGTTTTTTTCTTTTAAGCCAGACCATAAACATAAATAATCCAGGTAATGCAATGACCCAAAGAATGAGCATAGGTCCAATAAAACGAGCCATCCAATAATTATGAAGATCACTATCATATCTATATCCAACATCAGCTTTGACCCATGGTAGACCACTGATTGTTCTTATAGAAGCTTAAGAGATAAATCCTTATACAAGGGTTGGATGCATATATAAGAACATGTAAATAAATGCAGTATAGATTATTGACTATGAAAATTTAGCAATTCCAAGTATACAAATAATAAGGTATCCTAAAATTATTGCACCTAAATAACTCAAAGGCATAACTAAAGCCCAAATCATCTTAAAATATAATAGTTCTATATCAGTAATTTTGATGAGTAAACAATCAAGTGAATAAGCCATAGATCCAGTTGGATTACCAGCTGTTTATGTAGCAGTTTAAACACCACTTGGAATTTGTAATTAAAAAGTCATAACAATTTATACAATTTGAAAATAATTAGTGAGAGTTTAAACCATAGTAGCTAAATTGGAAGAATTTGATTTAAGTCTTATACCAATCATGATTGCTGCTTTTTATACAATTTATAATTGGAGAGCTTCAAAAGTTCCTTTGACTGACATGATTGTTGAAATCATAGTTAAAACGGATATAGCAATGATAATGATCATATTAAAGCTTTCTGAATCTTTACATAATCCACATTTGTATGGATTGGATGGAGCCCATCTTTATTCAGTTTAAATCATATATATATCACAGGATTCACATAAAGCTCCAACATGTCCAGTATAACAAGATGGATTACCAGGTATCCATCCTCCATTACAATTATTAGGTAGATTTACACAATATTCAATCTCATCATTTAAATATATTGGTCTCCAATAACCTTAAATTAAGTTAATTCCAGTAGGTGAGACCGTTTTCATTGTTAATCTATTCATTTATTTACATAAAACAGATCCTACCTCTACTGAATAGGCTAAATCAGATTTTTAACATGCTTTACATTATTGAGAATCATAAGCTTCTCCAATCTAACATGGAAATGTACGAACTCTAGCATACAATTCATAATTCTTATTATATCCAATTATTTGATAAGGGGGCTTTGCATTGTATATCGGTAATGCAACAGAATTACATGTAAATCGAAGTTCCAAATATAAATTTGGAGGAGATAAAGGATCGAATATCAAAATCAAATCATCCATATCGAATCCTCCTTTCTCTGAGTTATAATATACTTTTGTTGGAACTGTAAAATTGTTACTAAAAGATAATTAATCATTATATGAAGTTGAATTTTAAATTCTTCCATCAATTGTACAACTTTCATCTGGTTTGCTATTCTTTACAACATCTCCAAATCTATTTAGATTTATAATTCTAAATACCCATTCGAATGGGACTTATTCTTAAGTAACCTCATAAAAATATAAGTACTTTGAGATTCTTTGTCCTGATGGTAAAATTAAAAGATTTGTTAATTCTGGATAATTTCCTAATTTATGATATTCCAAAGTAATATTGTCTTTAATTACTACACTGCTATTATCTATTGAACCATCATTAGATTCATCACCATCATAATTTAAATAAGTTTAAGATGCAAAAGGAATATTTATTAATTACAATGTTTATTATATTGTGAGTTCCTAAATGTCAGTTCCACCATCATCTGCTAAATTTTTATCAAAACTTAAACTTAATTTGTCAGTGTTACTTAATTAATAATTTAACAAATAAATTGCTCCTCCAATTTAGGCATAATTATTAACAAATTGATTATTTTATAAATACATATTATTAGTACCTAAATTTTCAAAATAGATAGATCCTCCAACCAAAGATGCATTGTTACTACTAAATAAACTATCTTCAATTATTGCTGTAACACCTCTTAAATTTAAACATGTTCCAGCCCTTGCTAAATTATTATTGCATTAATAACTAGAAATTATTATTGTATGATTCAATGATTCAATAGAAGAAGATTACAATAGTCTTTAACCTTTAATATTTTCATCAATTATCTCAGATAATAATGTTACATCATTGATATTTTCTTCAAATAGCAGGGATGCACAGCCATAATAACCAACTATGTTATATTAACAGAAAAACTCTGATATAGATATCAACTCTTTTGTATTAAAATCAGAAATACTTCTAACTTAAAGTAAACCTCCCCTACATTAAAAGCATTGGTTTTAAACTATTTACATTTTCTTTATTTAAATCAAATTATTATCTTTCACTTCTTTTACATAAAACAAAGATGTAAATTTATCCAAATTTAATTATTTACTTAAATACAAAATGTTGTTCATCAAACACCTGACTAATTATACATTTAAAGTAATCAAAATTTCTATTATATCAGATTCTTTATCAAATTTTGCATTTTAAATATTTGTTGGATTATACTTACTATTCGAGGTTTATGTTTTATATATTTTTTCTTAATTCTCATCATAATATTCATATATCTCATCTAAATCATCAATTTCATCCAACTACTCTTTTACTAATTAGATTTGATCACAATTTTGATCAGAGATTATATATGTAAAGGATTAAGGAAACAAAGAAGTACAATTTTATTAGATATTTGAATAATCTGTTTCTGTAAATTAAATTATGTCTAAATTACCAATATATGCTTATCCCCCAGACTATAAGAAACTTAGTGAAATAATTGGGTTATAAAATAAATATCCTTTAAGAATTGATAATTTGTTGATATAAAGCAATTTTAACTAATTTAAAGATAGAACAGAAGTATAATTAGTTTTATAAAATAATGTGTCACTTATTATTAGCCTTCCATTATTTTGAGTATAAACACTGCTAGTTTATAGAAAATATAAGAATTCAAAAATTTAGATTTATGGGACAACACTCATTAATTTATCAATGCTATTATCAATTACATTCACATCATGTAGACTAACTTATTAAAATACAGAATCTGCAAGGAAATCAACCTTCATAAATGATGTCTCTAAAGCTTAACATTCTTGAAAATTAGATTTTTCTATAGTTACATTTTAATTTTTATTAGAGGCTAAAAGATAAATGCAGCCACCTGTTTATCTAACTCTACTATTTATTATACTTATATTTGACATTATACAATTTAAACTTGATTATGTTGAATCAATATAGAAACTTCCTCCTATAGATGAATGTTTCAATTCTAGACTACTAAAAATGTTTTATAAAGAAGAATCTTTAATTGAAATTTTAGCTGTTTAAATAGTAGTCAATTTTATACCAGCTTAGATTCCTCTTGTATAATTGATGAAGAGCTATGAAATTGTAGCTGTAGATGTTGTTAAGTCCATAATTGCTCCATAAGATTTAATTTCAAAGAATGACAAGATATCATCAGATGTAATTATTTAATTAGGTTCAATACGTTTAACCCATAACTTATCAATCATGTTGGTGTATCTAAATGTTGCATTTGTGATTGTGATTTTTTGGCAATCGATTTTTATCAAACCGAAATCACTTTTGATAGCTCGATTATATTCAGATAATAATTGAGTCAATTTGATATTTGATTTTGGTGAAGATATTTAAAATAGAGTAGCAATGGTAATTGTTTATTTAGATATTAGTTATTAGAGATGATTACTTTAAAAGTTGAGATTATTCATAGTAATCATTTAAATTTAATTTGATTCAATATTGAGACAGCCTGTAAATAAACCTTTTTTAGTAGATACTAAAGAGTTATTTAATATTTAAAATCCTGATAAATTAATACTCTCAGCTGTGTTACCTATTGTAGTATTTAGATAGGCTACATCATAGGATTAAATGTAAAATAAAGATGCATCTATTAATAATTGTCTTTAGATCAAAACATCAGTAATTGTGATATTACTTGAAAATTAATAAATAAAAAATAAAATGTAAGAAAATGAAGAGTAGGTTACTTTATTATCAGAACAGTCTATTGTTGTTGGTATAAGATTGTTGTATGGACTTACTTTTTATTAATAAAGATTTGATTAACTCCAGTCATATTTCAATGTAGTAAGTGTTAAAGTTTTAATTGTAGATATATAAAATATTGTTAAACCTTAAATATTATCAAACTGTAAATTTGATAATTTTATATCTTAGAAATTATTCCAATTTATTAAAGCTGATGTAGTTAAAAATACTTATTATTAAGTTATGTCTAATAATCCTATGTTAGAAATCTAAACATTGCTGAAAGTAATTGTAGTTGTAATAGAATAAGTATTAATTGGAGTACTCATAATCATGAAACAGTTAATTGAATAACAATTAGTATTGGCAATTTTAATTTTATCAAATTTATATTCCATTAAAGAGCTTTATAATTAATCATTAGTTTTTAATTCTTTTACAGATTAAAATATAATAGAATTATTTTGAAGAATGTTTTTATCAAAATAAAATTGAGAAAACTAAAACGAATTCATTAGAAATGCTTTACTGTTAATAAAGCGATTATATAGTATATCTATATTAGAAAATTACTGTGATGTTTAAAGATTGGCTAATGAGAATAGAGTGCTATCTTAAAAGTAATTGAACATCAATGTTAGTTTATCAATTTCATAAAATAAATTGTTTGTTTAAATGATAGATTTAATAATTGATGAACTAACAAAATTACCTCGTATAATTTTTAGATCACTGATTTTCAAAAATAGGGATGGAGCAATGTTAGTAAAAGCAATTAATGTTGAAAAGTTGTAATCACAATCAGTTAGTTCTACATTAATCATTTTAAAATCTTAATAGTTGAGAGAACTTAAACTATAGTTAAAAGAGACAACTTAGTCTTTTGTTTCAATATTTTTAATTTTAACATTTTACATAGTAAAATTAATAGGATTTTCAACACTTATAATTAATTTTTAATTTTGGTATTTATCTTTTATGAATTCAATGTTTGATAAACTAAATTAAACTTCTTCTTAACTTTTAATCATAAATCCAAATTCTTTTGGAGTGTTTAAATTAGGATTTTTAGTATATTAGATTTGAATATTGTTAATTTACACTTCAGATACACCAAGAAATGAAATGATTCCAGTAGCTAACCATAATTATTATGTAGTTAAATCTGAGTTGATATTTAATTTAACTTTTTATAAGGAATAAACATTTTATAGAAAAGAAAACTTAAATTAAGATTCTTTTTTGAATTGGCATGTATTTCCAATAAAATTTAGTTTGATAATTAATTCTTTAATTGTATTTTCATTGTAAATTAGATATTTATCAAAAGAATCTTATTCTTAGAATGTAATAATAGAAATTTTAGTTTTAGCAGAATTATATTTTTATTCAAGATCCTTATCGCAATCAAAATCTATTTTAACTTCATCTTTATTAAAACATTTGTATTATTTGGTATTAGGACAATCAGAATGGAAACAACTAACAGGTAGTCCAATTTTATTATCAATAAAGACACAATAATTAGGAGTTTCTTTAGCTTATTAATTTAATTTATAACATAATCTACTATATTTAAAGAGTATGTCACTCACAGGATTAAAGTATCTATTAACAATAGGATCAGTATCAATTCTATCTCTACAAGCAGCACAATATTTTGGGCATTCTTAACATTCACTCATATCAGCAACAATAGATTATTGATCTGGTGAGCTACAATAATAACAGAATGCTTTTTCATCATCTTCATAACAACTCTTACAATTACTAGTACATCCCATACATTGATTACCATATAAAGTGAATCCATCTTAACATTTAGTACATTTAGTATCTTATAAAGGTTCAAGTATGAAAAGGGAGAACTGTTCTTAAGAAATAGTTTAATATGTTTGTAAATAGGATGTAAAATTATAACTAGGAGTATATTACCAACAAGTCTTACAATTAATTGGACAATTTTAGCATTTACCAGAAAATATATCAGGATAATAACCATTAATACATTAAGTACATATTGACATAGCTGCTGCAGTTGAATCTGAACTATCAGGTCTACTTTGAATAAAACATTTCTCACAATTTTTAATAAGTTTAGAACATGTTTTAGTTGTAAAACATTTTTGATCATCTTTAGTTTATAAATCTAGTGGATATTAATTGCATAATGTGCATTTTGAATTCTCACCTTCATTGTAAGAACTACATTCAGGAGTAGGGACATCTGATATTTTAATACATGCTTTTTTATCTATTTGTAGATAATATCCTTCTTAGCATAAATAACATAACATATCTGAACTTTTTGGAGAATAAGTTGGAATAAAATCAATATCTAGAGTAGTGCCTTTATTTAATTCATAATAGCACTATTAGCAATTTGAAATAATGCATTCTTCACATGTTTACCCATCATAAGAAATAAATTACGATGATGAAACACATTATCTACATCTAAGTATATAATTGTTGTAAGGATCATAATATTGATCTCTGGTACCATATTCTAAATAAATATCATTTGCATCATTATAATAAATGTAAGCTATATATTCACATCTTTCACATTAATATTCGCAAAGTTAACAATTTTAAAAATCAGTTGTTTCAATTAAATATTCTCCATTTACTTTTGAACATTATAAACATAACAACACATTATCATAAACTGAATATTCACATTTTAAACATCCCTATTAGCACATTTAACAAAATGATGATGAATCCAAATAATATCCATCATTACAACTCATACATTTTTTAGAATTACAAGATTTGCAATTTTATTAACATTCTCTACATTCATTATCAATATAATAATAATGATCTTAACACAGAATTCCATTGTATAAATTATCTTATTAATTATTATCATAACAGGATAAACCTTCATCTCCTTCATCACCTTCATCTATTTCATCTCCTCCAATATTAATTTCATCATTCCCTTCATCATTATTTTCATCATTTCCTTCATCATTATTTCCTTCATCTCCTTCATCACTATTAACTTTATTTTGTTCTAAAACACAAAATTAACTACATCCCTCACAAATTTATAATTCATATTTAAATTTTACAGGTCTTATTAGATTTACAATATTTGTTGCCTTTTCTTATATAAAGAATATAGTTTTCTAAACATTTTCTCTTAAATAAACCTACCTTTCAATTCCTGTTTGAATTCTATAATTATATGTACAAGCTCTAGACTTTTACCAATTGTAAGGATCCTCCAAACAATCTCCACATAATATGTTCAACTGGTCTTAAAACAGAAAATATGGGCTATTTTAGTTAATCTAAATACCAAGGTAAACAATTTTTTTAATTTAAAGCGTCAACATATAAGAAATATCCAAATTCACATGGAATGTATTAAGTTGGTTGACAATCAGCAACTCCCATTTCACAAATTTGTCCTTATACATCATAACCAAATAGAACTGGTGGTCTTAATAATCTTAAATCAAAAATACTTCTATGCAAAGGACACTAACGTTAAGTGCAAAAAAATAAGCATATTATCCTTTATTATTATAACTAATTTATATATTTATATAATCACATAATTACTAATAAATCTTTATGATTGCTTTTCGTTCCTAATGCCATTCCCAAAGCATAACCATCTGCTGATATATCAATTGATTTGATTAATCCATCATTTTACTAAAGTCCAACATCTAAATTAGTATATATATCAGTATCTCCTAAAACATCAAAGACTTTCAAAGTTGAATTCTCGCTAGCTGCAAATATATATCTTCCACTTAATGAAATAGCAATGGAATAAATAGAATCATAGTAACAACTATCTTAAAATGATACAATTGGATCTTTCATTCTTAAATCCCATAAATTAATTGATGCATCATCACTTCCAGTAACAAATGTAGTTGGCTAAGGCATTTGAATAAATTTCACTGTATTTACTGCTGATTCATGACCTATTTAAAATTTAATTATTACCTTTATATTCTGCTTAAACAGGTTTTTTAACTCTTATATCCCAGATTTTGCAAGTTAAATCACTAGAACCAGATATAAANTCTACATTCATTATCAATATAATAATAATGATCTTAACACAGAATTCCATTGTATAAATTATCTTATTAATTATTATCATAACAGGATAAACCTTCATCTCCTTCATCACCTTCATCTATTTCATCTCCTCCAATATTAATTTCATCATTCCCTTCATCATTATTTTCATCATTTCCTTCATCATTATTTCCTTCATCTCCTTCATCACTATTAACTTTATTTTGTTCTAAAACACAAAATTAACTACATCCCTCACAAATTTATAATTCATATTTAAATTTTACAGGTCTTATTAGATTTACAATATTTGTTGCCTTTTCTTATATAAAGAATATAGTTTTCTAAACATTTTCTCTTAAATAAACCTACCTTTCAATTCCTGTTTGAATTCTATAATTATATGTACAAGCTCTAGACTTTTACCAATTGTAAGGATCCTCCAAACAATCTCCACATAATATGTTCAACTGGTCTTAAAACAGAAAATATGGGCTATTTTAGTTAATCTAAATACCAAGGTAAACAATTTTTTTAATTTAAAGCGTCAACATATAAGAAATATCCAAATTCACATGGAATGTATTAAGTTGGTTGACAATCAGCAACTCCCATTTCACAAATTTGTCCTTATACATCATAACCAAATAGAACTGGTGGTCTTAATAATCTTAAATCAAAAATACTTCTATGCAAAGGACACTAACGTTAAGTGCAAAAAAATAAGCATATTATCCTTTATTATTATAACTAATTTATATATTTATATAATCACATAATTACTAATAAATCTTTATGATTGCTTTTCGTTCCTAATGCCATTCCCAAAGCATAACCATCTGCTGATATATCAATTGATTTGATTAATCCATCATTTTACTAAAGTCCAACATCTAAATTAGTATATATATCAGTATCTCCTAAAACATCAAAGACTTTCAAAGTTGAATTCTCGCTAGCTGCAAATATATATCTTCCACTTAATGAAATAGCAATGGAATAAATAGAATCATAGTAACAACTATCTTAAAATGATACAATTGGATCTTTCATTCTTAAATCCCATAAATTAATTGATGCATCATCACTTCCAGTAACAAATGTAGTTGGCTAAGGCATTTGAATAAATTTCACTGTATTTACTGCTGATTCATGACCTATTTAAAATTTAATTATTACCTTTATATTCTGCTTAAACAGGTTTTTTAACTCTTATATCCCAGATTTTGCAAGTTAAATCACTAGAACCAGATATAAATATATTGCTATCATTTTCATAAGCATGTAAAGATAGAACATCACCTGTATGCTATTAATGAATGGCTAAATATCTTTAAGGGTTTTCCAAATCCCACAATGATACTAATGAATCTGTTGATCCTGCCTATATAATATTATTTTCTATACAATTATATATTATGGACTCAAAAATTAAACACATTATATTGAACCTGAGTGACCAAACAATTCAATGTTAGGTTTATCTTTGCTAAAGCTCTTTCCTTTTTTATTACTTTGATTTATTCTTATTTTTATGTTTATTATATTTACTCATAAACTAAAACTTTCCCATCTAAAGTTCCACATGCTACTTTCTTTCCTTCTTACTTTTCTACATCCACTGTTGTAAGCCACATATTTGAAGCATGAAATTATTAAATCAATCTATTTTATGCAACATCCCAAATTTTCAAAACTCCAGAAATATCTATACTCGCTAATTATGTTTTATATTTCTAATTGTTAAAGCAAATATCGGTTATTTTTGCATTCTCAACTGTCTTATTATTTACTACTTCTGCTAACATCTTACGCTATGTAATCTAAATTCCTAATTTTGGTTCATTCGCATTCAAAGGATTAGGGTTTTTTATCATTATACAATATTAATAATATTTTTTAAAATATAAATATTAAGTTTTTAGTCTCTCTACAGAAAATTAGTATTACATTTGATATGTTTATACTACTAATAACTTCAATAGGTTGAAAATTATTTAATATACAAAGATGAATTTCATTAAATGTTAGAAGAAAGAGATGATGTATTGTGGAATGAAGTTTTTGCATAATGTTATGTATATAAAGATTGTCAAATTTAAAAAAGGCAATTCATTCATATTATTATAAACAAATTTGATAGTATTTATGTGTTAACTTTTTTAAAACAATCTTTTTTTTATCAATTTTAACATTCATTACATGAGAATCAAAGTTAATATTCTTTGTCTTAAAAGAATTTAATATAAATTTTTATTTATGCTTAAATTTCTATTCATATCAAAGCCATCGTTAAAGTTATTTCAAAGGAGTATAGTATGCTTCTCATAACAATCGACTTTAAGAGAATAGGATTATATGTCTGATGGAGAAACTGATATAGAGTCTAAAAACTTACTTAGTAAATTTGAGGTTTTTTAACATTTTGCAAATGCATAAACAATTGAAGATGTCATTAAGGCTTACAAAGAGAACAATTTAACATACGAATAGATTCATTTTGCAGCATTTTAACTAATGAATATTATCAATTACAAATAATTCTCTTCAGATTCCTAGTTAGACTAATTTATCTAAGAGAAAATTATTCCATATTTTGATAAATTGAGTTGCGAACAAAGCGTTACAATTGTATAATTATTTTTAAAACTGTAAAATAAATCCTATAGCATTTAAATAAAGAGGCACCTAGATTAAAATTTAAAAAACTTTACATATTTATAATTGCCATATGTTTTTTCATTTTACTCAAAATAAGGATGGAAAATTGCTTATATTGGTAAATTATTGAAATATCAATTATAAACCTAAACTTTTACTGCTCACTCATTATGTTAAATTATAAGAGGATGTTATCTTGAACATAGTAATCTTAAATAGAACTATCATTCAGATTTGGCTTTTTAAGCAAGTCAATAGTTAATTACTCTAATTGAAAATATCAATTTTCATGGCTTAGTTGCTGTTTTCAACTAACTAGCTAGAATGCAATTAGATAAAAATACTTCTTATAAAAGAATTCCAGAAATACTTCATAAACTTTCCCAAAGGTTTATCTAAAATTTTGATAAAATCTCGTAATATTCTAAATTGAAACTTTTAGAAGCATATTCTGAGCTACCTGAATCATTCCCAAATGATCTTTATTTAAAATTATGTCAATCATTTGAATCTGATAATTTAACTATTTCTAATTAATTGAAGTTATACATTTTTTTAAAAATTTAAAAATAGAAAAATTAACCAAAGGCTGAAAATCTATAAAAACTATTAAATAAGATAAATTTTGAAGAAATTCTGGATTCAGGTTTATTAATCAAATTTCTTGATATCGAGTTCGGTGAATAAAACTAAAATATTATTAGAGTTTGCATAAAATACTTAAAAAAGAATTATTATTATCTAAGTGTTAAGTAAAAAACAGATTTTATAAAAGTTACCATAAAATAAAATCAATTAGATGAGATTTTAGATCTAAATAAAATTAATGATAATTTCTAATTAAAAATTATTGAATAAATACATAATCTTCAGAAATAGCTTGATAGTTTCAAATCTATTCAAGTATAAAACAATATCAAAGCATGCATTGATTCTTTTTTGAATAAAGCATAAAATTTAGATTATAATAAAAAATTAAAAATATCTTCTTACATAATTACTTTAGATTCATATGATAATGATCCGTTCTATAAATTTATTGATTAACATATCAAACTGGAATCTTTACCAGAGTCTTATTTTTTAGATTTTTTACTTAGGTTAAATAGCAAACATCATTACAATTAAAATATAAGAAAAAAAAGTGAGGAAATGATTCCATCATTTGATTAATTATAAGGAATTTTAAACAAATTAAACGAAATAGAATTTTTGAATGATAAATTAGTGAAATCTATAGCAAAATGGTTCTTAACTCTTATTGATAGAAGTATTAGAGATCAATCTTTTAATATAAACTCTTCATTAAATCTGTTGTTTACATTCATTCTTAATTGCCCTAAAAATTCACTGTTTAACATGAGAGGGACTATCTTTTAAACAATTAGAGAATTAATTGAAGTATTAACCAAACAAGTAAATTAGTCTCAAATGAAAATTAATATTAAGATAGGATTACTCTTAAAATTTAATGAATAATATAATAAATTAGATTTAAGGACAAATTTAATCGTTAATATTTGCTAAAAACTTTGCAATTAAATTGATAATTTTGAAGATTTTGAGAAATTGTAATTAGCTGTTCTTATTACTGAAAATAATATTTATTCATTCCAGAATTTAACAGATATCAATAATTTTTTAAATTTGGCAGTTAAAGTTGAATTAGAATCATATGAGGTTATTTTGATGAAAACAAAAGTATATTTTTATTTAATGAAAAACTAATCAAAATTACATTGGACACCAGATGAAGAATCATTTAAATTAATGATAGATTAATTAAAATAAGAAATTATAAAATTTAATTTAAATCAGACAAAAACATCATATTTGGATGGTTTAATGACTTTATTGGAATATGATGGCTGGAGATTCAATAATCTAAAATATGAAGATGATGGATTAAAAGATTTTATCTAAATATATTTTAATAATATCGACCATTTGTTGACAATTAATAATATGAGGGCTGGTTTAAAAAGTATTCTAAAAACTATTGGATAGTTTGATTCGAAATATTAATTCATCAGAAATTATGATAAACTATTTAAGAAAATGTTATAAAAGTGTCATGATTTAAAATCTTATGAATTACCTTAGATTTCTGTTTGTTTAGACTATATTGATTTTGCAAGGAAAATTAAAGTAAATGATGAAACTATTCTTGTTTTAGTTGATTAAATCAGAAAGCAAATAGAAAATTTAAAACAAATTTAAATGGTTGAAATCTTATAAAATTTGTCAGATTAAAAAATATACTCTTAATCATTATTTGATGCTGTGAATAAATAGATTTAAAAAAAAATATTATTTTATAGTAGTTTTGAATTGATAGATATACTAAACTCTTTGGCAAAACTTGGTTATTACAATGAATCATTAATTTTGAATATTTTAGATAAATTATAAAATGAATAAAGATTTTAAGTAAATTCTACAACATTTGTATAAACTTTATGGAGTGTTCTAATTAGTTTATAATATTTGAAAAAAAGCTTAAATAAATGTTATTATCATAGATATGAAAGATTGATTACAAATCTTATGCAGGAGTATGTTATTTAATAATAATGTTACATAGATTTTAAAAGTTTCCGAATGTATATTTAAGCTCTAAAATGCCAGTTGTCTTTCGCTAATTTATGGACATATATAATCTATTAGAATTTAGTTTACATTTAGATTTATGTAAGAATGTTAGATATATTTTTTTAAGAATTCAATTAAAAGCAATAAATGCTAGGAAAACAAATAATTGAGAGTGGAAAAAATTTAATTCATACAAAATTTATTCCAAATTAAAAATTATCTTAGTCATTCAAAAACTTAATGCAATTTCTTGATAAATCTTAGATTGAATATAAAGTAAATTATTTCCTTGACAATTAATAAGTTGATTTCTATATTTAAATGAGAAATCAAATAATATCAGTAGATAATTCATTATATGTTACTTTTGATAAGGTACATAATTGTCTTTATCAAGAAAAATTACACTGGTTTTCATTATTTTAATAAATGGATTCTTGAAGGGGTGGCTAAAAAATATGAATTAAAAGAAATTCGAGTTAATGCTTATGAATGGAATCAGATGACTGATGATCAAAGAAGAAAGGTTTTGTTAATGTGAAGTATTAAAGTTTAAAATATTAAATTTAATTGCTTCTTCGATATATATTAATAATGAGAATAGAAATTAGAGATTATTATAATATCATTGTACAAAGTTTCTTTTCATTTTAAGCATTCCGTTAAAATTTTCTTCTTACCTTCATTAATTTAAGTTACTTTATCTTATTGATGAAATAAACAAATTAAAATGTCATCCGCAAATCGTACTTTATTTTCATAAATAGTTTTCTCAGAGTATTCTCTTTTTTAATTTCCTTCATCATCATCACCAAAAGATTTTTAGATAAAAACAATATGAAGTTTGTTCAGTCCAATTCCAGGTTTGCTCATAATTTAATTAGCTTTTTTTTTAATTTATATAATTGCTATATTTTGAATTGAACAACAACAAATATGCATCTATATATATATATATATAAAATAAGGAGAAAGTTGTTTAGAATAATAGGATTCAACTTTTATAAATATAAAATAAAAGCTCGTCTAAATATTTTATGTTTTTTATAACCAAATATATTATTAGGTTTTTTTATATTATTAAAATAGAGAGATTAAGAATTTAGAAATATATTTTTTTTGAATTAATCTAAATAGATAGATATTTAAATTAATTTTAAAATATTGGAGTTACAATGAGAGAGTTCCATAATTGGATAAATTTAGATTTGAATAAAATGTGAATATAATTCTAAAGATTGAAGTTATATAAGTTTTGTGTATATAAAAATAATTAAACAAAGTAATTAAGTATTATTGATTCACATATTAAATTGTTGAATTGTATGAATGTGTTCCAAATAATTTTAATTTTTCTAGAAATTTCTAATAGAAATGGCTGAATACATAAGTCTAAATGAAGATGGAGGAATTTAAAAGTTAATAGTTGAGGAAGGTTAAGGAGATTAACCATAATAAGGAAATATATGTGAGGTAGATAATTTGATTATATCAAAGATGTTCTATACTGGAAAATTGGAGGATGGAACAATATTTGATTCAAATGAAGGAAGAGATCCATTTAGTTTTACTTTAGGACAAGGAGAAGTTATTAAGGGATGGGATGTTGGTGTTGCATCAATGAAGAAAGGTGAGAAAGCACAATTAAAGATTAAATCTGAATATGGATATGGAGATTAAGGAAGTCCTCCAAAAATACCAGGTGGTGCAACACTTATTTTTGATGTATAATTAGTAGACTTTAAAGAGAAAAAGAAAGAAAAATGGTATAAATAATTAATATTTAATATAGGGAAATGAGTGATGAAGAAAAAACAAATGAAGCTAAACAATTTAAAGAGTTGGGAACAAATGCTTTTAAGGCTAAGAATTATACTGAAGCTATTAAATAATATCTTGAAGCAGTTAATTATTTTGATGCTGAAACAGAATTTGCTCATGAATAAAAATTAGCTTCACATTTAAATCTTAGTCTTTGTTATTATTATACAAAGGACTTTAAAGAATCTTTAGATCATGCATCAAAGGTTATTTAAGATAAGCCAAATAATGCTTAATTAGTAAAAGCATATTATAGAAGATCTATTGCACATAGTTCTTAAGGTGATTATACAGAAGCTAAAAACGATTTAAAAGCAGCCTATGCTATTGATCCAAATAATCAAGCTGTTATTGAAGAAATGCATGAAGTCTAAAAAAAGATTAATATATCCAAATAAAAAGAAAAAGATATTTATGGAAAATTATTTTAATAATCTTATTATGAAGAAGAGACTACTCCTGTGTCTTTAACAGAAAGCGATCCTTCAAATATAACTACATATTTCGATATTAAAATTGGAGATGATGAACCTAAAAGAATGGAATTTACATTATTTAAAAAGTCATGTCCTAAAACTGTTGAAAATTTCAGAGCACTTTGTACAGGAGAAAAAGGTATTGGTAAAGCAGGAAAACCTTTACATTATAAAGGATGTGAATTTCATAGATTGATTAAAGATTTCATGCTTTAAGGAGGAGATTTCACATAAGGAAGTAAATAGTATTTTTTATTTTTAAGATGGTACTGGTGGTGAAAGCATTTATGGAGAGAAATTTGCAGATGAGAATTTCAATCATAAACATAATGGACGTGGATATTTGAGTATGGCTAATGCTGGTGCAAATACTAATGGAAGTTAATTTTTCATTCTATTTAAAGAAGCAGCTTGGCTTGATGGTAAATTAATATATTTTTATTATTTAGGTAAACATGTTGTATTTGGTAAAGTTTCTAAGGGAATTGAATTACTTGATGTAATTGAAAAAATTGAAACAGAATCAGATAAACCTAAAATTAGCATTGTTATTGTTGATTGCGGAGAAATTAAATAATGATAAATTTAGTGTAAAATTATTATTAATCATTATTAATATATTTTTTTTAAGATTTACATTTTTATTATCATCTTGAAAATAATAATAAAACTAAGTAAAATTTATTAAATCATTAAACTTATTATTATTATTAATTAAAATCCATTTTAACTCTAATTGCAAATATTTAAGAATGTAATAAATTAAAGATCTTCTTGTTCATAAAAATGTAGTACCTATTTATATACAAAATAAATTAATGAAAGAATTAGATTTCTAAATTAAAGGTTTTGAAAATAAAAATAAAATTTCATAATCCCCAAAAAAAAGTAGAAATTGTCGAGTTAAAACTCTTGATTAAAGTTCCTAATATGTAAAATTAGAAAGAAGTGTACGTAAAAGTTATAATAAGGATTAAAATTGTTTAAGATGTCAAAAATTCAATTTTCAGAATAAAATCATAATCTAATGTATTACTGGTCAACACATATATGTTTCATGAAACATGCCTTTTTAATCTTTTTTAAGAATAATTACTAGATATTTAACCTCATTTTTCTTGTATCTGTGGTATGAAATTATGTCCAAAAAATGTAAAATTACTTAAAATAAGAGGCATAAAATAATTAATTGTCTAACTTAAATGTATGACTTATCAAATACAACTTAGAATTCTCTAAATCCCTTATGTAATTTCTTTTGGATTAATAATTCTTAATAATGTAACAAATATGGAAAATAGCTTAAATCTCTATCAAAAGTCTATTGTCCATATTGCTGATTATAATTATTTATAATATTTTTTTAACTCTTATAAATAAAAGTATATAAAAATTAATCAAATCTAAATCATTTTCCTTAATTTTTTATATAAGGATTTGCACCATTTTATATAAGAAGATCAGCAATCTCAAAATTATTATGAACCAAAGCATAATAGAGAGGAGTATTTCCATCTAACTAAAATGTTAAAAATAATCTTACATCCATTTAATTTAAATTAACATCGAAATTTAACATATGTTTAATAACTCCTTCATGTCCATTTGCAGCAGCTAAAGAAATGAAAGGAATCCCATCTTATGTCTAGCCATTTAAATTGAAGTTTCTGTGAACATCCATAAATTCTTAAAATTAATTAAGCAATCCATGTTCAATCAAAATAGAAGCAATTTTTTTTTTTGATCTATTTTTTTTTAACATTTAATCATAAAGCAACATCGTCTCTAATTTAATATTTTAAGGATTTGCACCTTTCTTATAATTAAATAAAACTATACATTTTATAATTGAATTTATTGTATATTAAAATTAACTGAATCTGACATTGAATCTTATTAGCCAATATCTGATTTAATAGATTGCACCATTTTAATTTCCTTAAAATTTTTACCAGAGTCTGTTTTCTTGAAGATTTTTGAGTATTATAAATTTATATCTAACATTGGTTTTGGGAGTTATTATTGAGATTTTGACATGGTTATTTTATTAATTTCCCCTACAGAATCCTAAGAAATGTCATTTTAATTTTTTAATAAAAAATCTGTTTATTAAAATGATTAGGCTTTATCTCTTTAACCTGGTGATTTAGGTGATAAAGCATTTTTATTATGAATGGATTTATGAATATTCTTTTTCATTTTCTAATAATCAGAAGATTACTATAAAATATTAATTTATGGAAGTTATGGAGATCCTGCTTCTGAACTTTATTTACTAGAAAATACCTATATTGTAGCTCTATGAGAATGAAAACCAAATTCCGAAATTGGCTATGTTTATTTTTAAAGAAATCCACTAAGCCAGTTCTTTTATTATCTTAAAGAATATAAAATATTTTTTTTATCTATTTTATTTTCTTTTTCAACATTTCCATTTTGAATAGGTTCTAAAATTGGTGCTTCAAATTCAATATCATCAATAGGATTTAAATTGCCAAAATTACCATTTAGAATATCTTTGTAAATTTCATTATAAAATTGTTTATAAACTTTAAAAAATGTTGGCTCTGAATATTCTTCTTGAAAAGTAGGTACAATTTGATTAATATTATCTCTATATATTTTTTGATCTATGATTGTGTAATCAACTGATAATAATTTATTTTTAGACTTCTTATCTAATTCAGAAATAATATGAGTAAGTTGAAATTAATAAGACTTTAAACTTATATTTTATTCTGGTTTAATAGGAGTTAAATTTGAAAATTCATTTACTTTTGCTAATTTAAAAAGCTCTGAATCATCTTCTTCAATTTAACTTTAATTTTTATCATTCCTGTTTAGTTCAGAATTAGAATGATTTATTGAAATACTTATTTAAGAATTTTCATTTAAAAAGTCTATCCTAGCTAATATTAAATATATGATATACATGCCATAAGTCTTAATTTCATCTTTAAATCGAAATAAATTTTCAGCTTTATAATGTTCTATAATGGCATCACTATAAATTTTATCTATGAAAACAGCTTTACGTTATTCCTATAAATCTTTAGTAATTTATTAATGATTATTCATCAATTATAATAGCTAATTATTAATCTCAAGTATTCTATAAAATTTCAAATGTTTATCAAAATATTAACTAAAATAAAACTTAAATTAACTTTAAGAGTATGTGTAATTTTATTTTAGTTTTACTGTTTCAAAGCATGCATTCTCTTACCAGATTCTGGATGATCTTTAATGAGCCTCATATCTATAAGATGGTTATTTTATTGTTCTAATTAATTTTATGACTTAATCTATCAATGTACTCGATTTTTTTTGTTCTTTAGATTAAAACTATTGCATTTTTTATTTTAATTTTTTTTTTTTCTTATCATCAAATATGTAATTACATGAAATTTTCTTTTGTTACATATCAATATTTGAACATTCAATATCTATTTGCTATTAAATTACTTAATTATCAATGGGCATATCAATATTTTATTCTGTATATTGTTAAGTGGTGAGCTTTATAGATTCTGTTTAAAATTGCCTATTATTAATTGATAATTTATGTTTAAAACTGCGATTTTCAGTTGAAAGAGTACTTAATGAATGCTTTCTTTCTTAATTATAATTATTTGTAGGACTATTTATTTGCTATTCTTCTTGTTTAAAGATTTTTGAAGTATTTGGGGAACTCACTGGGCTAATTTGATTAGAATGGAAAACATATTTAGTGTAAGTTGATAAGGGGTTTTTTAATTAAGAATTTCTAGATTTGGTTTCTCTTCTAATTAAATAAGTTGGATGTCTAGGAGATTCTATACTAATAGATTTTGGTTTGGGTGTACTATTTTCTCTTTAAGAATTAATTCTCCATTTAAGATTACGCTTAATCATATATAATAATATATAATAATGATTGATATCATGCCACTGTTAAATCGTCATTAAAATATAGATGTATTGCTGGTATATACCATTAACTCTCTGGGACTCCTAATTATTCAAATTCATCAGTTTCATCAGGAATTCCATTAGCACTTAAAGTTAATTCCATATCTAAAGGTTTACCTAATCTTTTCCATGTATAACTGGCAGCATGTGCATTAATTTGTTTATATCTATCAAGAATTTCATTTATAGTTTCTTCAGATGGAACCTTAAGATGAAATTAGAAATATCAGATTACTTCAATAATGTCTTCATGATCAGTAAGCATATTGATAATTTTGATTTTTCTAGTTTTATGACTTAAATTTCCAATACAATATTGTTTTTCGTTGTTCCACCATCTTGAAATAATGAATTATTATAATTTTACGGTTTAGTATGATTTCCAAGTTCATCATCTCCACAAGGATCAGATGATGGAATGTGTAAATATCTACCTTATGGACAATAATAAGTAATCAAACCTGTATTGATATCTACTTATCTATTCAAAAATAATCATGAATTTCTTTACTTTCTAGGTTCTCCTGTTTATTTATCAAACCAATAAGAGATATCACTTCCAGCTATTTTGATTAATGGTTCACATAGTTTCGATGATATATTTTCTTAGACAAGTTATGTAAGATCCCAAACCTTCCCAAAAAAACTTACCCATAAATCATTTGCTGTATTATGTACTGATACATCCTATGGAGTATAATATGCTCTTCTTTTATATTCTTTTGGTAGATATTGTTTAAGGGATTCGTCCATATTTAATAATTATATTTATATTTCATAACTTTGTTATTTTCATCTATAAAATTATACAACTAATAATGATTGCTCCAAAGCCTATTATTTCAACCCATAAAAAACTTATTGTTTTTATATTATTTAATTTTTCAACACTAATTTTACATTGTATATTATACCCTTTAAAACCGATCTTATTATTCTCTTTATCAAAAACAATTACATATTTTCTCATTACAATATCACCAAATATCATTAAATCCATTTATGTTTCTATCTATATTCCTATAAAACATAATCCATAATATATTATATCTCTCATCATATAATCATTAATATCTAATTCTAAAATTATTCCTTCCAAAAATACTTTTATTTTTGGATAATCTTCAACTTTATCTCTAGGAATTTAACAAGGACAAAACACATAACTTTCTAAAAATCTACAATCTTTTAAGATTAACTCTTCAAATACTTTATAAACAACATTCTCTGGTAGGTACAAAAGAGATGTTCCTGAATCAATTAAAGCTTCTTTTAAATTTCCTGTTTTAATAGGGTGTTCATTTACATATATATTTAGAACCTTTACTGTCTAAGATAATTAAATTTAAAATACCCAATAATCTTTTCTCAAAATTCGAACCCATTCCACATTATCCATAATTTCATTCGGAATTTCATCGTAATAAAATAATGATTGTTCATTTGTATTTTTAAGTTCCATCGCAAAAAGATTAGATTTTATAGAACCTTTTTTGTATGCCAAATCGAATATATTATCAATTTCTTTATCATTACTTAGACCCAATAACCCATCTGATTATAATTCACTAAATCCAGAATCTTAATATATGAATAAAATCTTCGCTTCTACTCTTGTGTTACCATCTGACAATAATTAAACATAATCTGAACCCCAAAATCCTTTGCAATTTCCTGATGCATATTCTACTTCATCTGATTTAGAAAAGTTTTTGTATGTTGATGATTTTGAGGTTTGAAATCTTTTGCTATAGTGGCATTATAAAATAGAACATTTGTCACTAGGAACCCAAAGATATGGAGAACCTGTATCAAAAATTACACTTAATTACTAATTAGGAGTTCCTATTTAAATTGGACCATAATATTGCACATTATCATAATTAGATAACTTAAAAGCATCTATTGACTTTAACACTTTAAATTTGGAAAGCTGTATTTGAATGCAGAGAAATGATTGGAGAAAAGTAAATAAACATAAAATTTTCATTTATATTATATTTTAATTCTATAGAATGTTTTATATAATAGAATAAATTATAAATACGATAAGTATCAAAATAATTTTTATATACATTCATTTAGGAATTCTTCTAACAAATCATTTAAAACTAAATTTGAAATGTCCATAAGTATATAAAATTTAAATTCATCATAATTGAGCCAATTTAGTTCTTCATTTTATACCTTTTATAAATGATATATCATACTTCTTAATGCAAAAAATCTATTTCAGCTTATTCTAATCCCTTCTAAAGAATACTTTTAGCTATACAATTTGTTTGAGAACTTTTAACTTAATGATTTTATACAAATTATTAACTTGTCAACAATTATTCATCATCCCATTCTATAGTTTCTTGATTGATTTCAAAATTTTAAAATTTAATCTTTTCATCTGGAGTTTAAGATGTTGAATTATGAGTTCTTAGGCGATTGTTTACTAAATCATCATTTTAATTATTAAGAAAAAGAGTTTCATTTTAATTTGATAACTCCTAAAGAGATTTTTTATATGCAGAATCTGAAAAGGCTGAAATTGAATAATTTATAAACTACTGAGAATTTGAAAGTGAAGAAAGTTACAAATATTTTTATTGTTGTAAAAACTTAAGTTCTTTTTCAGTTTAAATAAAAGTATCGTATAATCCTTGCCATCCTTTTTCAAAACTTATTTTATTATTTTCAATTTCTTCATATTATTTATTAACCCATTTTTCTAAAGTTTAATATTTTTCCTCAAATGTATTCGGAGATATTTATTTTTATTAAAATTATTTTGTCAAAACTCTTTGCTGCTCTATCTATTATTCTTGAATGATTTACTATTTCATTTTTATTAATTCAATCATTTAAGTTCTATTTAATATTTCATCAATTTTTTATGAGGCAAATTAATGAAATGGCTATTATTCAAAAATTGATTCATTCTCTTATTTTATAGAAGAAGTCATTATTTGTTTGATTAATTTTTCAGAACACATTGCTTATCTAATCTCACTCATAACCATAGATTCTTATGAAAATTAAGGAACTTAAATCTCTAATTTCTTAATTTAAAATTTGCTTAGAGAACAATCTTAAGAACATTACTAAGTAAATTTTTTCAAATCTTTTAGTACTTAATCGATTGATTTTCCTTAAGTATGCATTTCTAATTAAGATATATAATCAAGTAGTTCTTGCCATTTCATTTTTTAATATTTGACAAATTTATCAGAAATTTTTGGACTGGGTTTACGTTCCTATTAATCCCCCTTTTCAGATTCTAAATCTAAAATGAAATTAATATCAGTTTAATAAGTAAGTTAATTTAATGTTTATTCCCTTCCTTATTAAATTGATTGATTGTCTTTTTCAAATCGAAATTAACTTCTGAAAGTTTCTTCATTAAAAACTTCTGGTTATTTATAATAATATTATTCAAATTATTAATCTAAAAATTATTTTCTTGTTATATATCCTCTCCAAACTTTTTAAATTTTAGTAGCTGCATAATGCATTTTATTAAATTCTTTTTCGAGAATTCCAAATTCTTTCAATTAAACTTTTTCATCTCTGTTTAAAGAAAATTCTTCAGTTAAAATTTATTACTATTTATTCGAGGTTGGTTGAGAAGGTAAATTATATGGATCTGTATCTGTCAAATATTATACACAACTACTCTCATCAAAAAATGTTTAATATATTTTTGAATATCGAGCTTATAATTTTTTATATTTATCCAATAAATCTCCTTCAAAACCAGTGAGTTAAGTTGTATTTTCATTTTTAGTCTTAAAACTTGAATTTCTTTAAGTGTTTTGTTTCATTTAAGTTATTGAAGTCACGCTTCTTTTTTTACATCTTTATTCTGATGTACTTTCTATTATTTAAAATTAATTTACTTTTCAAAACATTTCGACAATTTTGCATTTATTTTTTCTTATCCATCTTTCTATTCATTTATTCATTTTATTTTAACTACTGATGTAATTTAAATTTCTACTTTACATGTAGTCCATGTTTTTATGAAGTTTATGCTTTTTTTTTGATACTCTGTTAGAAATGTGAAAGCTCTTAAGTTTTCTATCCTATATATTAATTGTGAACCTATACTTTGAAGAAGAAGTTAAATTTTTTTTTTGCAAATTTTGTTTAAAAAATCTAATCCTATCTCTTATCTTCTCTGAATCTCTTTGAATTTTGATTCTTTTCTTACAAAATTATTTTTTTCTAAATTTTTTTATTTGTTTATTTTAGAAACCTTGCGCTTTTCAATTTAATCTTTTTTTCCAATACGATATGATTCTGTTGGTATTGTTGCCGAAGTACCTCTCTTTTTATCAAATTTATTTGGCGATTTATAAGTTGTATTACTGATTAGAGTAGTATTAGTTGTTTAAGGATTTCTTTAAGGACTTCTTGATAATCTAAAATTTTATATAGAGACTTACTTTTTTTATTTTTTTTGTTGCATGATTGAATATCGATAAGTAGGATAACGATTTGATTACGTAATATAAATTAATTTGCATTTTTTGAAATAAATTAACAACTTCTCTAATGATTAAATTAAATAATTCTGAATATACATTTCTATTGTTAAAAAAATATAGAATTATTCCTTATTTAATAATATAAAACAGAAAAGTTATTGTATAAGATAATCTCTAAAATTTATGATAGTTTCTTATTAGCAAAATTTATTGTTTTAAATATTAATAATTAGTAATTGATGCAAAAATATATAGAAATAATTTAATATACAAATCAACTTTTTTAAATATTTAGAATGTAAATAAAAAATAAATCAACCTATATTTTATTTTTAATAAGACTAATAAGTTTTATTTAAAAATAAAAAGACAATGATGAAATGATAAATGAATGAAAGATTTAATAGGAAGCATACTTTACCTATAATAACTAACTTAAAAAGGGGAAAGGATTTAAATAACAGTTTTTTTTGAGAAATCGAAAAAAAACAAATAAGAATAAAATTTAATTTTCAATACACCTTTATAAATAAATTTTGTTTTAGTTTGAAAATAAAAAAGGGATTGTATCATATCTATTAGAAATAGATTGCATTGAAACATGAAATATTTATTATTTAAAATAAAATAAATTGTAAAAATAAAAGAAATTTTTTAGATAGTTTTAAACTCATTCCTTTAATTATTGTTGCCCTTATTATTCCTCTTCAGTAAAATTTTAGAGATTTTTGAATGAAATTTCTAATCCAGGATTAGATCCAATCGATTTTGAAGGTTAAAAGTCAGATTCTTTAATGATATCTATTAATGTTTCTTGTTTTTCTTGAGTGAAAACTTATGCACTTTTAGCTCTACCATGACTTGCTTAAGGAGTAATGGAACAACTAATTAAAAGTTTGAATATCTAATGATGAATAAAAGGAATACTCTAACACAATCCATATTTTATTCTCCAATAATATCTTAAACTAATCCTTTTTCTTAATCTAGTAATTTAATTGGATCATTATTTTGTTCAAGTAACTAAAAGATTATAAAATGAAATACTATTTTCATTTAATAAAATTTTTCATTTCCTAATTTTCTTTTTAGGAAATCTGTTAATAATAAGGATCTATTAGGAGATGTTGGAGTATTTGGATTAAAAAATATATCTACGAACATGAATGATTTTTAGTTTTTTAAAAGAGTAGGTTAGCTTTCAACTTCTTAATTTCTTTTATTATTATTATCATCAATTTAAGTATTAATAGAAATGGATTTTTAATATTTTAAATGTTTCTAATTAATTTCATTTGATTCAGTTCTTTGAGTAGAAATGGGGGTTTATGTTTTTTGTTAATCATCTATATAATCTGGTAGAGTATGTAAATTCGAAGCTAATTATTTTCCATTTAATTTAAAATGAGGACTATTTTAATCAATAATATTATCAATTTTGTAACCTTAATAAGGAGTGTTAAGTTTAGATTAACTTCTTCTAGAACAAATAGGCGATTAACCTTGTTATTATTTTGATTTTTCAACTAAAAAGTGTATAGAATTCTGTTGCATTCTGTTACTCTTTTTACTGGATGAAAATCCACTATTTTATAGTGTAATTTTATTTGATTGATAAATTTTGGATAGTTTTTGGATTTCAGTTTGAATTTAAGGTAAAGACAGTATTTTTGAAATTTCTGGTCTTTTTTCTGGTTGTTTCTGTAACATTTCATCAACGAGATTAGACAGAAATTCTGTGTAGTGATCTGAGATTTTTGTATGTTAATCATTAATAATTTTAGTGGCTAAAGCCTTTATTTAATATAATAGTAAATTACATTTATTGATTCAGCAGTGAATGGTTTTTATAATGTACATAATTCATAAATGGCACATCCTAACATCCATATATCAATCTTATGATTATAAGATTAGTTCTGACATAATTCAGGAGAGAGATAGAATGGAGTACCTAATTTATTAGTTTTCTTAAATTAAATACCTATTGAAGTTTATGCTAATTCAGAAGTGTTTTCTAAAGTTCTAGAGATACCAAAATCACCTAATTTCACCTATAATATATGAAATTATATTACAATTCCATCATTACATAAGAATATATTTTATACTTTTATGTCTCTATGAAGTATCTTTTGAGAATGAAGATAATTGAGTGCTACTGCCAATTAGGTTAACCAGGCAAGAATCTATAATAATGCATAAATGAAATACAGAACTGTAGATTCTTGAATGAATTGATTATTTTATTTGGCCTCCTTTATTTTTAAACTTAGATCAGCTTTGACTATTTTTTCAAAATTTTACCATTTTCTGCATATTCCATTAGAATACACAGTTTATTGTTGTGGATAAAAGAATCATAGTGTTTTATAATGTTTGTATGGTCTAATTATTTGAGAACCTTAACTTCATTAAGTGGGTCAACCACAAAACTATCCCTCATACTTAAATCCACTCTTTTTAGGGCAAATTGCTTTTAATTAGATATAGATTATTTACTTTTCCATCACTTTTTCTTTATACCAAAAGAACATCCCCAAAATTACCTTTACCAATTTTTCGAATTCTCTCAAAATGATCCATAATTCGTTAGATAAAATAATAAATATTATCATCTTATTTATTTTAGTTTAATCTTCGTAATTATAGTAATTAAACTAATTTTAAAGAAGAGTTACTTCAAACATGCTATAATATATTTAAGATTTTTGTAATACAATATCAATTTTTTAGTTCATGATTAAAAAATTTTTAATATTTAGTTTATAAGTTTTTAAATTCGTTGTAATATATAGTGATATGTAATAAATATTGTTGATATTTTTAGTATTATGAGAAGTGAAAAGAATTTGTTAACATAAAAGTTTATAATAGGATTTTTGGAAAGTCCTGAATTATAAATAAAAAGAAAATATAAAAAGATTTAATAGGTATGATAATTAGATATATATAGGATTGGAAATGAATATTCTACAAATATAGAGACATAAATTTAATTCAATTCATTTATGTTATGACATAGAAGAGAATACTCTATTAACCATTTGTATTTATGCTTTTCTTTATAAAAATGGTTTTCCTCTTGGTTGCGGAGGCTAGCTTTCAGGAGTACAAGTGGATTTTTGAGAATGACGAGAGTCTGTGATAAAAGGATTTTAGAGTATTTTTATGTTACCTCTTCCTCTAAGCAATGTAGTTGAATGTTAACTGATTGATTTTTAGTCTGAAAGTTTGGAAAGTAGTGATTTTTAGTGTATCTTAAGTGGTGGAACTTTGGGATTTTTTTTAGAGTCTGAATTGGCTTTTTTTAGTGGTATGGATTGGAATATATTTTATAGTTGATTGTTAGAGATATTAGTTTGGCTATTTCTCCTTTGACATTGTTTGAATAATGATTGATTTTGGAATGAGTCATCTTTTCTACTAAAAGTAGGTATTTCGAGATCAGGAGAGCAAATAAGTTCATAAGTGCATTTGAGTTTTGGGATTTTGAGTTTAGGATGACGGAAAAATGAAGCAGTTTGATTTAGATTGTCTTGCATAATGATTAAATAATAAAATATTAAAAAATTATGATTATGGATTATAATTAAATAATGTTAATAATTAAGATTATAACTAATATATTTATATATATATATATAGAACTCATTATAAATAATCATTCTAATTTAGGTATTTTATTTTTGCCAAGATCTTATTCTTCTTCATCATCATAATAAGCCATTCTCATTTATTTAGCTTAAATACTAGTCATACCAGAGATGACAGATTCACATTCACTTCTTAATGGAGTAGCAGCAATAGATGATATTTATTATCTAACAGGAGTTTAAATTCTACTAGGTCTTTAACCTAAGGTTGCAGTACGTTCACTAATTAATCTTCTTTCTCTATCTTCTTTTTCTCTTCTTTTAAGACATTCTTCACTTTTCATTTCATGTTCTCTTTTAGCTTTTTCAATAGATAATTCAATTTCTCTTTTACTTTTTTTTTCACTTTCAATTCTTGATGCTCTAGTTTCGCCATCTTCTTTAATACTAAAAAACATAGGACCCATTTCAGCTAACCATTATGGATCAACAGCACTAACGCAATGCATGTATTCTTTTGATGTCATAACTAATTCATGATATACAACATAATCAGGTGCATAACCTAAAGAATATAAAGCACTAGAAGGATGAAGTTTACATGGCATTCCTGTACGTAAATTTATATAATCACCAACACCTTTTATTTTTGCAGCATTTTAAAAATAAGCAGAACATATTGCCTTTCTAACAACGTCATATGAAAAATTACAAGTACTCATTTTTAATCCTAATTTACCAGCTATATCTTTTAATTATGCTCTTACTTCTCTTACTTTTCTCATACTTTTTGCTTATACAAAATGTTCATTACACCATTCAGGAGAAAATTCATGTCTTTTCCATTATTCAAATACATTAAGCATTGTTAAATGATCACTCTCTCCTACAAACAACTTTTCTCTTGCTGCATCACTTTCTGCTTCTCTATCTTTCGGTCTATAAAATATTCCTGGAACACTTAACATACTAACTACTGTTAATATCTCTTCAGTGCATCCTAATTAATCTCCTTTTATTAACATTTTTGATAAAGGAGGATCTAATGGAAATTCACTCATCTTTCTACCTAAATCTGTTAATTCACCTACATTATCTAATGCACCCAATACCCATAATTAATACATTGCATTTAATATTGTATCTTATGGAGGAGGATCCATAAAATCAAAATCTAATAAATTATTAATATTTAAAGATTTTAATAACAATACTACATTTGCTAAATTTGTTCTTTATATTTCAGGAATATTATTTTCTAACATATCTTATCTATAATTCAAAGATGAATACAATCTAAAACAAATACCAGGTCCAGTTCTTCCAGCTCTACCTTTCCTTTAATCTGCATTTGCTTATGATATTGGAGTAACCTATAATGCATCCATACCAATTCTTGGATTATATACTTTCATTTTACAATATCCAGTATCAATCACATATTTCACTCCATCTAATGTTAATGATGTTTCTGCTATATTTGTTGCAACTATACATTTTCTAAATTCACTCTTCTCAAATATCCTTGCCTACTCTTCAGATCTCAATTAAGAATATATTGGTAAAATCAAAAGTGGAGGTGTTGCCTCACTTAATTTATTTAATTCCTCTGCTAATAAATAACATGTTGTCTCTATATCTTCTTGTCCTGTCATAAATATTAAAACATCTCCAGGAGGTTATTAAATATGAACTTCTATTGTTTTCTTTATTGCGCTTCTTACATAATCTTAAGCAGGAGCTTTCTCAAATCTTACATCAACTGGAAATGTTCTACCTGGAATTTTATATATTGGTACTCCTCCAAAAAAATCACTAAACTTTTTTGCATTCATTGTAGCTGATGTTATTACTATTCTTATATCTCTTCTTCTTTAAGCTACTTTCTTCAATATTCCAAATAAAACATCAGTATTTAA